CATGTATGCCGTTAACTAAAGTTTCAACGTACAATGGCTTCAAGTGTTTAGTTAACTTCATGGCTGGTCTCTTAAAAATAACCTATTCGGCAGCATCTATTTTCACTTTCTGTTTGTCCTCTGTTGAGTTATCCTTTTGTGATAAGTCAACGTGCAATATATCGCACTGAACTTCTGTTTCCTGAATTTCCTTTTTACTATTTTCTAATGCTTCTTCTTCGGTACCCAAACTGTGGGAGGAGGCATTATTTTTGGAGGTGATCCATACTTTTAAGAGCGAGGAACTCTCTCTTTTCTTTTGGGCGTCCCGTACAGCATGTAATAACCGAAAGAACGCCTAGAGGTTCTCCCAACAAGTCCACTTTACGAACTCCCTATCGATGTAGTTGCTTCAACAGAGGATTGTACGATACTCCTCTCTTTCTTCTTTCTGCTTCCAGATCAATTTCTTCTTCGATGTCCATCATACCATCATCCCCTTCATCATCGTAGGCCCCTCTAGAAGTTTGGCATTCTTCACATTCCAGCACACATGCTTCTTTTTCATTATCCTCCATTTCTTCTTCTTTTTTCTCTTTGTTCTTGAACTCAATGGCTAGTAAGTAATTATTAGCCATGACAGGAGGTAACGTACCGAACTAAATAGTAAGGAGTTGATCTGTATCTTCTCCATCTCCTTTGTCTCGTTCAAACTTTGATCTCCCAAAAGAAGTTTCTGGCAATTCTTCCATTGATTCATTGTACCAGTCTCTTCATTGTCTTTGAGAACATTTTAATTGGCTACTTCGAGTAGTTTGGGCGCTTTAGGACGTGGCATTTCCTGTTGTTGCCTCATCATTCGTCCATAATTTCGTTGAAAACGCTTTTGTTGGGTTCTAGTCATCTCGTTGAAGGGTATCACCCTTCCTGCGTTATACTGGAACGAATGCCATACATTTGGTTGGCGAGATTGTGGCCTGAATGTTCTCCCATTATTTACTGGCCTGAACTACCTCTTAAAAGGCGGTCTCCTATAGAATGATGCACCTCGCCCTTTACCAGGCTGAGCGTTTGAAAAAAAATTAAGGCGATGGTGATGCTGCCATATCCCTGGTTTCTTTGTATTTGCATTCACTTCTCTTTTGCATCTTTCATACAAGACGTCTTCATCCTTTTTGGGCTCCTTACCTTTGATACATTCAAAGACACTGGGATGTGACCCAAGGTCCTCTTCCCTATCATCTATAACCAACTTGAATTTTGTCAACTTGTTTTTGAAACCAGTCGTCACCATGTTCATCCCAAGTGGCTGTGGAAAAGGGTTTTCATCCACTGCCATTTTCTTCTTGTCTTTGAACGTAATTCGTCCTGATTCAATGGCATCCTGTAACACATGGCAAAAAACCAAACAGTTGTTAGTCAAATGTGACCATGCATTATGGCACTTAAAATATTTTTTACCCTTAACTTGTTCAGGGCTTGGCAATTTATGTTTATCGCTCAGTTTTATCTGTTTATCCTTATATAGTTTATCAAATATAAGGTCAGCTTTGGTTACATCGAACGAGAACGTTCTAACCTTTTTGTTTTCATCTTTTATAGGCTTATCCTTACCCGACGGTTTAGGTTTAGCCATTATAGGACAAGTATACGTATCTCCTTTAATCAATTCGGTCAAACACATTTTGGCTTGATCATAATATTCGTCATTAATGGCATGAACATCAAAATTTGGGTCTCTATAATAAGCCCCCTTGCTAGAATTTTTCATTTGCTCTCTTCTCTTATTAATTATTCATACCTAATCATGTCTGCGCTCAATTGAAAAGGATCAGGAAATTCCTCGTCTTGAAATTTCTTTTTCAAATCAAAGTCAAGACAATTTTGAGCGATTTTGACAAACTCTTTTTCGGGCAAAGGTACAAAACATTTACTTCTTGCTGTCTTGAACCTTTGAAAGAAACCTTTTGCCCATTCGTTTGGTATTCGACGCAGACTCGCCAAATCGGTTAAAGTAACTTCAGACTCAGTCTTATATAACTGAGCATGGAACAATTGTTCCAATTATTGCCATGTTTAAACAGAGTTTGCTGGCAAATTGATGAACCAGGAGAAAACTACTCCCATTAATGAATTAAGGAACAGCCTCATTTTATGGTAGTCTGTTACCTCACCACTTTACAGTGTGAATCGCCCTATGTGTTTTAGAGTAGACACCTCTCCTAAACCGATAAATAGTAAGAATTCTGGCACTTTATACCCTCTAGGCCATGGATATGCTTGGTCTACCCAATCAGGATATGGCTTTGTGTAAGTCGGCCTAATGACAGGACGTACTCCAAAAGCCATCTGATCCTGTACTATTTCCATAATTTGATTCCTCAACATGACGTTGGGGTTATATGGAATTTCTACAGGTTAGTTGATCGGTTGATTTGCTTGAGGCCTGATATTTGGTCCTTGGTTGGCAACAAAGTTGTCTTGATTTGGGTCATTATTACCATTAGCCTGAATATTTATTCCATCATTAACAGGTGGGGCATTCTGTCCATTATTTAGGATATTATCTCTTATATTTAGGTTACCCCCAAGTTAGCTGTACCATTACCACTATTCTGATTTGACATTACATCATCCCCTGGTTCGAAGTAGAGGGACGAAAAGACGGTTCTATCCCTTAATTTGGACTTAGGAATGGGGGATTATGTCCCACAATTGTCCTAACTTGGAAGTGATTTGCAAGAGGCACAACTAGCTGACAAATTTGGCCTACTAACTTATTCATTATTTCATTCAAAGTATTCAATTGTTTGGCCATGTTGTCATAATGTGCATTCTTATTCTGGGTAAATCTTTCCATATTATGAATATTTCGTAGATTTACCTGTTCAACGACATTTTGTGTGAGTTCTCCAAGTAATGCACGCATGATTCGAGGACTCAACTCTGTCATTGGTTCGTAACGACTGTGACTACTTTGACTCTGTCCCTCTGTTCGTGGGGAGCTATGCTGCTCATCTATCACTCGATCACAGATTGGACTCCTTCCTAACTTGCTGCTTCCTTATCAGATTTGTGAGACATATTCTTTCACCTTTTGTATCTTCAACACCAAATACCAAGGTCCCACCGGGCGTGCCAAATTGTTTCGCGCGGGTAGTCGCTAACAATTAAAAAAAAAAGATCAGACGATTGTGTAAGGAACAAACCTCTTAAGATAAAGTCCCAAAAAGGGGTATTTTATTGGTGATGATTTACAATTGGAACTAAACAAAATGTCTCCAAGGGGCGCAAGCACACGAGTACTGAAAGAAATGTTTAAGTTTAAACTAAAAAATTGAAATTACATATTCTCTGTTTGAGAGTGTTTTATTCGGGGTCCTTTCTCTCTATGTCTTCTCTTCCTTTTATATTTTCTTGATGATTTCTTTATGACAAACCGCTTGGAAACTGTTTGATTGCTTTATATCTACCCACTTTCTTTATGGTGGCTTACTTGTCGAGGAACTGCCGTCTCTAACTGCTGCCACAACTCTTTGTCATTCAACCGCCTTCAACTGGGTTCCTTGAATCATGGAATGTGATAAAATTACTCAATAACTGCTTCAATAACTGTATTTCTGGATAACCATAACATTTTATGTTTGCTAAGATCCTGGACGATTCGAAGGTATGGGTGAAAACAGGGTCATCGCTCTAGACGACTGTAAGGCACTCCATTCGCTCAGATTTTGGACGTCTTGCAAGCTTGGACGATGATGTTACTGTGTTCGTGAGCTTCCACTGCATTCATTAATAACCCTGTCTGGGCCTTTATCCTGAATTGTCCAATTGGGCTTCATTCTTTAGGCTATTTGATTTGGGAATTCCTCAATTGGGCTTTATTCCTTGGGTTATTTGATTTGGACTGCATTTTTAGTGTGTCAACACGTTGTTAGAAAAATAATGAACAGGCCATCCACCCCCACCCCCCTCACATAGCTTGTGAGGGGCCTCTACAGGCCTGTACATTAGGCATTTTTAAAGAATAATTGTTCTCTTTTCTATTTCAAGCCTATTTCTATTTTCGAGATTTATGAAAATAGTGAAAATGCGCTCTCTTTCCGTTTTTAAAAACGAAATTTCAAAAAAAGAAAGTTGTAAAGAAAATGCAAACAACATTTTGAAATGTTGAAAACACGCAAAACAGGAGAGAGAAACCATTGAGCCGTCTCCTCGTCTCCCTTCTCTCTTACGTCCCCTTATCTCTTCCTTCAACTCTCCTCTTCCTTTCTTCTTGATTCGGCTACAGCGTGGTTAGGCGACGAAGGTGATGCGTCGTATGGAGAGGTGACGCTACTGTGAACGCAATGTCGCGATCCATTCGTTTACGCCTGTCTCCATCTCCTCTCTCTTCAACGCCTACTGCGGTTTGGGGAAGGCAAAGTTCACTGTTGATTTTGGTTGATTTGGTGGTGGTATGTTTGATTGTGGTGATGGTGATATTGATTTTGGTTGATTTTCGTTTTTGCGTTTCATTCCTTACTTTTTTTGTGCATTTCTCCCCTTTGGCAGTGGTTGATGGTGGTGGCAGTGACGATGACAATGGTTGATTTTGGTGGTGTTAGTGTTGATTTTGTTTGATGGTTTTTGGTGGTAGTGTTAATTATGGCAGTGGTTGTTAGTGGTAATGGCGATGGTGATTTTTGACAATGACTGTGGTGGTTGCGTTGATTTTGGTTGGCAGTTGTGATCGATGGTGGCGTTGTTAAAAATTGTTAACAATGGTGATTTTCGGCAATTGTTAAAAATTATTCTCAAAATTTCAAAGCAAATGCGTTTTTCATTTTTGTGTTTTGAAAAATAGTTTTGCAGAATTACAAAAATAACGTATTTTTAATAATTTCAAAACATGTACTTAAAGCACAAAATTTAAAATAAATTCAAAACTCAAAATTATGAAATTGAAATACAAAGGGAACGACCCAATATTTGGGAGACGTGTCACTGTAAATTGTGTTAGCCGTGTTGTAAATAGTAAATTGCTTAACACTAAATGCGATCTCTTCTCAAAATCATCGAATATCGCATTTCTTGTAGATGAAAGAGCCGCCCGTTTTCCCGTACTATTTAACTATAAACTAGAAGCTCCACTGAGAAACCGTAGAACAAGAACGAAAGTGGGGAAAATGCTAACCCTTTTATTATCGTCCTTCTTCCTTTCTTCTTTCATCGGATTTTCCTACCTGTTTCTTAAAGCCGATGGTATGTCAATTTTTTCGCTTAATTATGTCAGAATTTATTGAATCGTAAATTTTACAACTTCCCAATTTCGAGCTTACAGCTGTTTGAACTTTGAATTCATTAGGGGATTTCACGTTATTGTCCAAGAAAGACGTAAAGCGCGAAGAAATTGAGGATAAGGTTTGTAAAAAAATTTCATTCAGCATACACACTACATATGTATATTTTTATTTCTACTAAAAATACAGTTTTTTTAGATAATGTTTTGTTTATGTTCCTGAATGGATATATAGGTAATTTGGATTACCGGGGCAAGCCGAGGGATTGGTACGTGGTTTAAGTTAATGGCAGTTTTTAAAACTTAATTCAGTAATTACTATGAATGAATTGTTCGAATTGTTATTATTATTATTACATAAGTTGTGATATTAGTATCTTTTGATTCTTTTTGTCAACTTTTTTGATATGTTACTGTTATACCTGATATTGAAAGTGTAACTTAACTTGTCATTAAAGTTTATCTGGGTCATAAAGTTTATCTGGGTCAAACTTTACCCTCCATTGATAAAATGCAGAAGATTACGTCTTTGGACTTAATCCAGAGAAGAATATTGATCATAATTCAGCATAGTGGTATTATGTTTCTTCAGTGACTTCTTGGCAATTATTATTCTCACTTTCAAAGTTAGTTAGCTAAACGCGTATCTTAAACCTATTTCGACATCCCATTTATTGATTTTGTGGAAATGTTGGTCAGAGTCAGAATGATGAAAATATTTTTTTCCCCGGATTTCATGGGTTAGAATGATTGCATTATTACTCAAATTTCCACTCTTTGAGCATTTACCCTATTGAGTATTTTGAGAAATCTTATTTGCTACCTTTTTAAATTGTTTCTCATCATGTTTCAAATAATTTTAATCTTCACGTATGGATGATCAGGGGAAGTGCTTGCTAAACAACTTGCAAATCTAGGAGCAAAGCTTATTATCTCAGCCCGAAATGAAGCTGACCTACAGCGCGTCAAGAATCAGCTCACTGGTTTGTCATTCTGGCTACCAATTTAAAAGGCCTATTGATGCATCACAGAGAATTTGTGGATGTTCATTTTTTGTTTCCTTACATTGATTACCCTGTGCTAAGCCAGGAAAGCATGCTCCACATGACGTGATGATTTTACCTCTGGACGTGACTTTGGGGGAAGATTATCTTAGAGAGGCTGTAGAGAAAGCAGAATCCTTTTTTGGGGGTTCGGGTGTGGATTATATGTTCCACAATGCAGCCTTTGAGCGTCCTGTAAGTAATTGAATATTGTGTAAATGACAATTAGATGACGTATCAGTAAATTTGAACACACAAGAGTTTAGCTACAACTTGGTAGATGGCATTCCAGTTGAAGAATGGGGTGATGACCTGCACGTTGCAATGAAGGGATAAAACTCTGAAATACCAAAAGATAGAAATGTTGACCATGCCCAAGTTTTTCAAAGCAATGAAGTCTATTGGATTGCAACAATTATAAGAACTGAGTTGCAAGTGGGAGGAATAATCACGAATGACCTTGGCAAACCTTTATTTACACTTCAATCTTTTATGCTTTGGATGGAGAAAAGGGGTGGCTGTACCGTGGGGGGTGGAAAAGCATAAGATAAGATTACTACCAGAGAATGTTCCTTTTGAGAGGATCAAACGCAGAACAAAGAAGGGATCTATGACTTACTAGTTACTTTATCCTTTTTCTCTCTTAGGCAGAATATGCAGATTTTTATACCTGCTGATTTCACCTCTTTTTCTATGGAATCTATTGGAGGTTTTTTTATTTTTTATTTTTAATTATATAGATGTTTATTAAGCAGGTAAGATGAATCTGTTTTGCAGAAAACAACAGCTCTAGATGTGACAGAGGACAGCCTCAAGGTATCGTAGAAGGGTAGAAGTGTTGTTAATGCTGATTATACCTGTTTCCATGTATCTTGACTTAATCAAAACTCTTTAGTTCATGTTTGTTGGTTAGTTCCGGTTACGACCTAGAGCATTGATGTTATAAGTATGAACTTGATCACGGTATTTTGCAAAGATTCAAAATTAACAAGCACATAGATCATGCTAATAGATTTAATAAAATCATTTATAGTTAAAAAAATTTATACCGGCATTAATTCATATGGTGTCAGACTAATTGATTTTATATTAAGTGAAAGTTTATTGTACCTTATGTCTCCTTCTTTTATCTGTTATGAAATCGGGGACAATTATGTGTGTGCATGCAGTTCCCCATTTTTTATTTATTTTTTTGGGCTTTTTGGCTTTTCGGGATGGGGTGAGCTAAAAATTGAATTCTAGCAAACCTCGGGGTAGTTACTCCTGCAAAATCTTTAGTATTTTGCTTCTCAAAACATGGGATGGAGAGGAAGACTTGGATTTTTAGTTAATAGATATTTTAATTAAAGAAGACTCTCTGCATTTTAAATATATAGATAGATTAATCTAGTAAAATACTTACATTACAGTCACAGTTCACTCTACTTTGCTCCATCATAGACTGGACAGAAATTCTTCCCTTCCAACAGATCAGAATTTATTAGTTTTTATTTCACTCTTTACATTTGATACTTGTAAGTTTTACCGTGTACACCTTTTTGACTATTTTACTTCCTTAATAGGCTACATTTGATGTAAATGTTATGGGGCCAATATCTCTTACGCGACTCCTGGCACCTTGCATGCTGAAGCGGGGGAGAGGACATTTTGTTGTGGTATGTCATGTTAATGAGTTCATTTATCAACTGTTTTTTCAAATGTATATGATAGGAGTGATCTAATGTGTGTGGATCTGGGGAAGGTGGTACCTTCTAGTTGATCTCTGCGAATTGTTGCCTACTTTCATACCAAATGTTTAAGAATTTTCTTCCGATCAAATCCAATTTCAAGAATTTTAGTAATATGTGACTGGAATTGTATGGCTAGACATGCAAATGGACCAGAATAATCTCTATCTTTGCAATATCATCTGGTTATGACCCAGATTGTTGAACTTCTTCAATCACTTTTTCCAAGTGCAGTGGTTGAGTTTTAATGACTAACTAGACATCAACTATTTTGACCAAGTTTATATTAGTGTAGAATTTCTTTCTACCTTTTCCATTTTTTCATTTGCATGCTATCTATATGCAGATGAGCAGTGCTGCAGGAAAAGCACCTGCACCAGGTCAAGCTGTCTACTCTGCTTCCAAATTTGCTGTAAATGGGTACTTTCATACGTTGCGATCTGAGGTATGCCATCACATAAATTCGTAATGAAATAAAAAAATTGATATACTAAGCATGTAATGCAGATTTTATTGCCTATTTCTTCATCCTGTTATACACTACAAACCAATATATTCTAGGCATACGGTGTCTTGCCCAAATATATGTCCAAGATTGTTGCTGTTGGACCCACGCATCATTCATTATAAGTTTATGTTCAACATTGTGCATTAAGCCACAGGGGCAGCAAATGAAGTGTTTTCTCTATTTATTTTTAAATTTTATTAACAAAGCTGAGTAAATTGATTCTTTTAAATCATTAGGGCTAGCTACATCTATGTTCTTAAAAGATTTCAGCAGCAATTTCTCTAAGTAGCTTTGAAGGAAGAGGAAAGTCTGATTAAATAACAGAACGCGGTTGTGTTCTGTAGGGTTATTGGTTTGATGAGTTGGATGATTAATCTTTTTAAGTTACTCTCTTTTTTTTTCTATATTCATACGATCTATGGTTTTTTCAGCTTTGCCGAAAAGGAATCAAGGTGACTATTGTTTGTCCAGGGCCTGTAGCGACGTCTACCAGCTCCGGTGCAAGCATCTCAGAACAGAAGGGTTCTTCTGAGGTAAAATATGAAATCATTTTGTGTAATACTATTCAAATGAAACGTCCTTTTTTTGTTGGGTGGGGGGTGGGGTTCACATGTAACCTATTTTTTCTAGCATTTGAGTCTGCAACCTTTCAATTCAGTAGTACATGGGTCCTTAATGGATGGTTTATTTAGCTCCATTATAACTCTAAAAAATCACGTGCACTGTTTGAGGGATAAAATAGGTAAGTCATTTTTAAAATGAAAATATTAATAGAAAAGAGGAGAGAAAGTAGAGGAAAAGATAAAGGAATTAAAAAAAAAAAAAAAGAGCAGCGCACCTCCCCCAACAGGAATTAAAAAAAAAAGAAAGAAGAGAAAAAGGAAAAAAGCAGCGCATCTCCCCCAACACCACTGCCGTTGACTGCTTCTGGCTTTCACCCTCACCCCACGTCGTCCCTCGCCTTCTGGTTTTCTCGCCCAACCTCCAATTTTGATTTCATCTAAACTCTCTGTTTTGTTAATCCTTTTTTCGGAGAAACCGAGTATCTGAGGACTGAGATGTGTGTTAAAAAATTGAAATGTTGAGACCCAAATTCGACAAGCATATGTTTGAAGACCTAATTGAGATATTACATATAGGTTGGGAAGCTCTGTAATCTTTCCTTTCCTTTCCTTTCCTTTCCTTTAAATAAAAGAATACTTCGTAATACATTTTTGTTTTACATAAAAGATTTTTATAGTCTACATTGGCTCATAGTGTTCAAGTGCAAAACCAACTTTTTCCGTTGAATTTCTAATATTTCAGATTTATTTTTTTGCAAATTCACCATATATTCCACTAAATTTGAATCATATAAATGTATGTAGTATGTTAATGATGTACTAACCTCATTAATTGGTGATGCATATTAAGCCTTCATATTACTGGATTGCCTGCGAAATTGGACAAGAATTTACCAAAGAAAAATTGAAACTCAAGTTCTTTTCCTTAGCCATTGAAACTCTGCCACTTTTAGTTCACATTTTACCTACACACTCAAAAACCCTACAAGCCCTTAACACACCAAGATGCTTATAACTGACTTTTATACCTGTCTAATACTTGTAAGGCTTATTGGTCAATAGGCAGTATTTGGGCCTTACAACTGTTTTAGAGAGGTTATTGAGCTTTATGGGCTTACCAATACACTAAAAAAGAGTAGGCCTCGGAGCAAGGTAGTTAAGTACATGTTCATCCCATTATGGTTCAATATTTTAATATCATACGTATATGATGTACCCTATCATAACATGGTTGTGCTATACGTGCATCAACACTTACCAATTGGTGTACATACATGTGATGATGTGATATATCATTGGGTTAGAATTTCTTCAACCAAATCGTAAAAATAAAAAATAAAATATTCTTAGCTCTCTTCTTGACATCTCATCTATTTGTAAAACTTTTTGTAACTCCTTATGTACAAATAGAATTATTCATCATAACAGTATAATTGTCTTTAAAACAAAGTACTCTGCTCCATACGAAATGTTCCTACATTTAGTTGGAAAAAAAGGATGGCACAAAATTGATTACACTTCTCAAATAAAATATTTTCTTGTAATAGATTTCTTGTTCGCATACAATCATGAAATGACAAAGTAACATAATTAAAGTAATTACAATCTATTATTTGATTCGTTCCTTGTATGTCGCTATGGGATGTTATATTTTAACTTTTAGTCATGCCAACACAACTTAAAAGTGGAAGTGAGTGGAACCTAAAGAAGCTGTTTCTCTTTACTTCATTACTTAGTACCGCCACTGTTGTTTGCATATATATATTTGATTGCTAAATAAATATTTTTGGTGGATTTGCTTCCCCATTAAACCAGTTGCTATTTATGTGTTATGGAGAAACTATGTTGTCAAGCATGTGATTAATGAGAATATCAGCTCCTAGAGTTATCATCATTTTAAGTTTTTAACTGGAAAACCTGTGACATGGTAGAACCATTATAACATGTCTTTGCTTTCTAGAAACGCGTATCATCAGAGAGATGTGCAGAATTGACTATAATCGCTGCAAGTCATGGTCTGAAGGAAGCTTGGATATCATATCAGGTTTGTCAATTGAGATTTTTACCATCATGATACCGAATTAAAGGAATCCTGTACTATGCACGTTCCCTGTACATACTATGCTCGATCCTTGTACCTGTTGTGAACCCATCAGTTACAATGAATAACTTTTCTAAACCAGATAGACTGGCATGCAAGTTAAATGCTGAATATCTGAGAATTAGTTCACTTGTGAGCAGTGCTGAACATATTTGCCTGGAGTTGCTCATTTTATGTTCAACATACCGCTTTAGAACTTTTCATTTTATGTATATCATACTTGGAAATTCTAAGTTGCTATCCTTTTTTCCTCGTGCAGCCTGTGCTTCTTGTTATGTACTTGGTACAGTATACACCAACGGTTGGATATTGGCTAATGGATAAGGTAGGCTTACTTCCAAGGCAGTCATTCTTCTAATGTTTACTATCTATAAAATCATTCTTCTAATGTTTATTTACTATAACATGTTTGGTGACCATGCCTGTAATTTTGATGGTGCCTATATAATAAATCTTCGTTGCAAATCTTCTGGCCAGATCTGATCCTGCACTGTCTTTTTTGGATGCAAGAAAATTAAAATCTTTTCCTAAAAGAAAATAGTTTTCTATGATCATTTTGTACATAGTACTGAGCATGGCTGGACAGTATTAAGACTAAAAGAAGAGAAGTTAAACTTGCATTCACTGTACCTCGTAGTCGTGTGTGTCAAACATTCACCATGCCTCTATTCTGTCAGTAACTTCTGTATTAATTTCTTGTCTTGAATGGCTTTAGATTGGGGAAAAGCGAGTAGAAGCTGCAGCTCAGAAGGGGAACACATACTCAATGGGTTTGCTCTTTGGACAAAAGAAGGAATAATGAGGTTGATAGATGAATAAAACGAATGGAAAGCGAGCTGAATGAGAGTCCAGCCGACACTAACCACACCACATGAAGAGATTACAGGTCTCAATATTTGTTCTTTTTATCTTTATGGTGATATTTAACGTGTTTGATCATCTCTCTCACACGTTGAGTAAAACTCTTCCTCGTAAAGACAATGTCATCAAACTTATAAAAGATTGTAACAAAATTTGTGGTATGGTGGGTTATTGTGTCTCACTTTATGTTTGAGATTTCGATACATGCCATTTTCCTTTGAATATTTAGAAGGGTTTTGCTGGATAGCCGGCGCCCCCCTCCAACAGGGGGAGCCAATTAGGCGTCCTGTTTGGACGTGGCTCTATCCCTTTATCATTTTCCTATTTAGAAATGGTCACTAAGAAAGTTGTCTAACTCAATCCCAGTTTGGTAGAGATTTTTTCATAATGAATTTTTGAAACGTTATAGTTTTAGAGATAGTTTGGGTTAAAAGTAAGGGAAAATTACGGGTTATTTTGTAAAATTATTTTGCTCCTGTTTGGGCTTCATTTTAATCAAAATGCATTTTTCTTTATTATCTTTTTAATCAAACGTTTTTCAATAAACTAATATTACATATAAACATAAAGCTTTTTTTTCTTTTTAATCACATGTTTTTTAAAAAAATCATTATTTCAAAATATTTTTTCCCCCCCAAAACTCGTATAAATGGAACCCAAACAATGGCTTTATTGAAATTATAGCCTTATTTGAGCCACGTTCTTTTAAAAAAAAAAAAAATGTGATTTGAGATGTAATGTTATTAAGATTACTAGTGGGCCAAAGGTACCCAAAAAGGCATGTGAAAACAAATAATGTGATTTGAGATGTAAAGTATAAGCAGCCTCAAAAAATTGGATCACTAATGCATATCTTTGAAAATTTAGCTTTCTTATAATTTCATGGAATTTTTCAGCAGTTTAGCGTAAATAGATGAAGTGATGAGAACATTTAATCCACTGAAATTCAAATATATTGACATAAGACTTAGTTGTATTTCTATTATAAAATCCAACAACAAAGAAGTTAGAAGTGAATGTAGATTAAATATGGCGTGATGAAAATTTTGATTGCGTCAAATGTGTGTGTGTGTGTGTATATATATATATATTCTTCAATGGTGATTTGGCCCCCGTTTGTTTTTCATTTTTGCGAGAATGAGAATTAAAAATGGAGTCGTTACGGGACTTACACAAGAGATAGAAATTAAAATTTAGTAGCTTGATGTGATGGATAATGGTCATATTTTTCATTTTAATGAGAAAAGAATGGAAACCAAATAGGGGCTTAATATCAGTCCAATCACGTATTTTTTAATAAAATAATATTATAGTCAAATTCTAAACTTTTTATTTTATTTTTTACCCACATATTTTTCATCGATACATTATTTAAAAATGCATTTTTATGAAAATAGTGTGGCTCAAATAAGGGTTATGTTTTTTGTCCGACAATGGAGAGTTCCACATATTAAATATGTCAATTTACATTTATGCCCTTGACATTATGGTTGTCAATTTCACGTAAAATGATTCGAATGGTTGAGGGTAATTGTGCGTAAATTTCCAATTACCCAATTACAAAGTGAAGGTAAATAAGCCTCAATGGCATTATAAATGTTAACTCGTTCTGACAATTATGCTGACTCATTTTATAATTTTAAATCTGCCCACTACTGCAGTAAAATAAGATTTGATCAAAAAATGAATTTCAAAGGGGGGCGTAATTTTAATGGGAGTTAAACTGAGGCTTAATTCCCAAAAATTGAATGACTGAGATAACATTATCCACAAATGATATAAAGCTTTGACTTTCCTCAAATCAAAATTAGCTTGAATGACTCTCGACAAGATTTCAAGTAGTGGTGGGTTTGATTCAGTCCTTATACACATGAGCTCGGCTCATGCTCAAGGGATGAGCTCGGCTAGTGAACTTTTGGCTCGTGGGCACGGCCCAGGAGCCTCTAGCGAGCTTGACGAGCCGAGTAAGTCAGAGGACGAGTTCGGCTAGTGAACTTTTGGCTTGTGAGCACAGCCCATGAGCCGCTAGCGAGCTATCCCACTCCTACTTGGCACGTGCTCGTGCTCGGGCTTGTTAAATCTGCCCATGAGTCGAGCGGTTGAACCGACGAACTACTCGACCCGTTTGACATCCTTAATTTCAGGACAGTTTAGGGGTTCCTCCCCCTCCCCCAACCCCAATGTGTTTTTAAGTACTTGATGTTACTGGTATAAAATTTCTTCGTAGGTTAAAGACTTATTTGTAATCGGACCACTCTAATATGCAAAATTATCATGAAAAACATTCCAAAAATCAATATAAATTATTCATATTTTATCTCAATTAAAAAAAAAAAATATATATATATATATTAAAACTGACTCATAAACTTTGTATTTCATCTAAATAATGTGCTATCACATATGTTGGTTCAAGATACGAGAAATAGTGAAATTAATAAATTCATTATAATCAAAGAAGAAATGTGTGGAAATAAATGTCCCACCCTCAATATTCTTCTTGAGGAGGACAATCCCCAGTGGAAAAAGGAATGAGAGAAGAATTGTGATTTCTTCTAATTGATGATTTTAAAAAGGTAACTATGATATTTTTGCATTTGAGGATATAAAATTTTTAGGATTTTAATATAAATGATGTCGATCGTTAGATTAGTATAAATTTAAGAATTCAGATAATTTTGTCAAAAATATTGGTAACAGGAATGCTCCTCTTATTTTTATTCTCGTTAAATTCTTTGTTGTTTAACGACATGTGACTAATCGATGATTGAATAATAGGGGGATAGGTGAACAAACTAGCACGATAAAATAGATTTACAATCTTATTTTTTAAAGAACGGACAATTTTTAGTATTTTTGAATTTCTTTTTGATGGAGACCTAAAATTTAAAAAGAGAATTTTCGCTTTCAATTTTATAAAAAAATAAATAAATTCACTTGACCCGACTGGAACTGGGCCACCCAAACTCAGACCAGGCGCACGATCCTCTTTGCGCTAAGGGCTTTCGCAAGTCTACCAGCTCGACAAAACCCCCGTGCGCAGCTAGTAGTAGCGAAGAACGCTAATGGCGGACGAAATATAGAGTTGAAACGGTGAAAGGAAACTGGCAGCAGATGACTATTGAATGGCAAGGAAGTTGTCTTTAATAGACCACCTGCTTCGCTTCAGAATCTCTCAGTTTACAAACATAAATCCCTCGAAGCCATTTTCCTATTTTTCGACTCTTTCTTCTCCAGATTTAATCGATACTTCTAGTAATTATTGTAAAGAAGAGGAAAATTGTCTGTACTTTCTGAATTCTTGTCGAAGTTTGAGTCAATCGTTCCAAATCCTAGCCAATTCAATAACATCGGGTCTCTTCAGAAAACCTTCTTTTTATGGGAGGATTTTGAAACTGTTTTCTACTATATCTGATGATATAGATTATGTAATGTTGATTTTCAAGCGTATTGAGGTTCCCGATACTTTCTGTGTCAACACTGTTATCAAGGCCTATTCTTGCAGCTTTCTGCCTTATAAAGCTGTGGGCTTGTATTTTGAAATGCTCCAGCGTGGTAACCTTTTTCCTAACAGTTTCACTTACCCACCTCTTTTCAGTGCTTGTGCTAAAATGGGTTGTTTGAGCTTGGGTCAGAAGTGTCACGGGCAAGCTCTGAAATTTGGTGTTGATGGAGTTTTGCCTGTGCAGAATTCTTTGATTCATTTGTATGCTTGTTGTGGGCACATGGGAATTGCTGAGAAAGTGTATGTTGAGATGCCTGTGAGGGACTTGGTGTCCTGGAACACAATTGTTGATGGGTTCGCTAAGGTTGGGGAGATGGGTCGAGCGCATCACGTGTTTGATGCAATGCCTGAGAGGAATGTGGTTTCTTGGAATGTAATGATCACAGGTTATTTGAATTTTGGAAACCCCGGCAATGCACTGAAGTTGTTTCGGGAAATGGCGAGGATAAGATTTAGCTGCAATGATACAACGTTGGTGAGTGTGCTTACGGCTTGTGGGAGGTCTAATAGACTGAAGGAAGGAAGATCAGTTCATGCAGTTCTTGTTAGGATATTTTTGAATTTGAGTTTGATTATAGATACAGCTATGATTAATATGTATGGTAAGGGTGGAAGGGTGGATGTAGCTCGAATAATTTTTGATAGGATGTTGATCAAGAACTTGGTGTGTTGGAATGCAATGATATTGGGGTACTGCATTCACGGGAATCCAGTTGATGGGATCAGTTTATACACAGAAATGGTTGACAAAACCAGAGTACTTGGGGATTCAAATGTAAATACCAATAAGAACATAAAGTTAAATGAGCGGGATAAAATTATCCCGGATGAGGTTACCTTTATTGGCATTTTATGTGCCTGCGCCCGGAAAGGAATGTTGGTAGAGGGGAGAAAATACTTCTCCCAGATGGTTGATGTGTTTCATGTGAAGCCCAATTTTGCACATTACTGGTGCATGGCTAATCTTATGGCCAATGTTGGTCTAGTGCAAGAGGCAGTGAATATCTTAAGGAACATACCAGTTGACAAGGATGTGTCTCCAGAATCCTCATTGTGGGCAGGATTGCTTGGGTCATCTCGATTTCAGGGGGATCTGATCTTAGGGGAACAAATTGCTAAAGAATTAATTGAGCAAGATCCCCAGAAATTTTCATATTACATGTTGCTGGTTAATATTTATGCCGTAGCTGGTAAATGGGAAGAAGTTTCTAGGATAAGGGATATGATGAAGGAGCGAGGAATTAAGAGAGTGCCAGGTTCTACCCTGGAGGATTTGAAGGATGTAGTTCATACCATTAAATTAGGAGATAGATATCAACAGATTACACAGATGGCATTGATGAAGTGATCCATAGACTCTGATTATTGTCCACGACCACAGCACATTAGGATGTGGGGAATTAGCAGGTTAGCATCTGTTCTGTGATATAAAAATGACGAAGTTGTCTTCTGGAGATCTCTGCCTCTGCCTCTGCCTCTGCCTCTGGCATTTAATTTATTTTTTTCCTCCTCACATCATCTTGATTTCGATACAGTTGAGTCCACCAAAACAATAAGCTGCTCATTCTGAGATTTGCAATCAATTTTGGCCGATGAGTTGGTGTAAATTTTGTCAAGTTCAGTGCTTATGTTAATTTTCAAGAAGAATTGATACACTTTCTTGGTGGTTCTGGATGCCTTGATGCCTGTGCATGAGTTTGTTGGATAGTAAGCAGGACACTGCTTTCACTCGCATTCGTATCTATACATCTTAATGAGATCAATTCTTTCTTGACTGGATTCCCTCGGTGCAATTTTATATAATTCTTGATTTAATTCACTTGTAGGAAAATCTGAGTCTTTGTTAGTCCACGTAATTCGGGTCATTAATTCTTGTTATTACAGATTAAAATGAAGGTTGTCTGTGGATAGAAGTATCGTGGTAAATCAAAGCGACAGGCTTCTCTCTTGGAATGCCATGCTTTTGAACTTTCTAAATCCTAGTGATGATCACCATGGACAGGGCAAATGAGGGCTGATAATGCCTGCTGATATCCATTTTTCTCTCTCTTTCTCAATCATTTCATGTGATTTGATGGTGATATTAGAATAGAAACCAATGGATTAAGGATATCTCTAGGATGTCTTGTAAGTTGTCAACTGAAGTAACAAAAAGTTCTCTAGTCCTGTGTGGGATGCCTCAGGAAATTGTGTAGACATACTACTACAATTTTAGAGGAAAAAAGACACAAAAATGGAGTAGGAGAATCAGAAGCACCAAACCACATTGATGGTGGAGAATCAGAAGCACCAAACCACATTGATGGATACGTGTCTTTTATTCCACAGAGATGGAAAATTAAGAATTACAAGTTAATCACAATTTTTGCTTATTTCATGCTTTTCAGAACAATCTTGTCACAGATTGGTTGTATGTTAATCTCGAGAAGGATGATACATTCAATATGAGAGGAAAAAGAAAGGAGATGGTTACAGAGTCGATGTGGGTGCATACAACATACAACAGGATCATATCTCCACGGCTTCTAGTACTAATTTCTCGAGACACGTTACTAGCTCTCATGGCGTTAATCAATGTATTTGAGTTTTGAGAGGACATCGATGTGGCTGGCTGCAAAATGAGAAGTGATCCCTCTGTGCATGCTAAACTGATTTCTAATCACTTGAGTAAAGAAACTCGATCATTCTCATTCTGTTCGTGTTTACCAGATTTATAATCATGTTTTCTGGAACGAATTTATATGCAATGCAGCAGATTGTTCTTTTGGGATTTAACAGTTAAAGCAGTAACCTTTATGTCGTGTAAAAAGTAGAAACCTTGTCGATTTTTTTGTAAGTAGCTAAACTTTTCCTCCATCTTCTTATAAAAACACAACTCTACGAAGTTTTGTGGAAAATTTTTTGAGTTAAAAGCTACAGAGGAAGCCTCCTATTGGTTAATACTGGTGTCTGTTAAGCTTTTGATGGGATGCACAAGCTACTGCACCAGGAAAAGTCCTTTTCTCACTGACCTGGAATGGTCAAGACTCGACGTGTTGACTTTTATTAGATTAACAAAGTTCAAGCTTATACTTTTGCATAATCTATGAATACCTACAAAACGATACAACACCTTCTACACATTCATGGGTGGGTCGAAGGGGTTCTAAAGACTGCGAGCAGCAAAAAGTTTCCTGAGACGACAGGAAATGCTAGAAGTCAAGAGGTTGGACAATAAATAAGGACAGGAAAATGTCAACTACCTAATTTGAAAGCATCAACAAAGAGTCCTAAGCAAACCCCAGCTTTCCAATAGTTCACCATCACCACAAGAGACTGCAGCCTCCCCGAAAAGACGGGTTTTCCATACATTAGCATACCAATACCCTCGATAGCAGCAACAACTACTCCGGCTACCAATACATCCCAGTCTCCCGTCTGCCCAAGAATCGTGGCCAAGGCATTTGCTGTGTAAAATCCTAAGAGGAGAAGGAACACCTTCATGGGAAAATTCTTCCGAGCTGAATTCAGTTTGCTCAACAGCTGCCTACCACCAGCACCTACTATCCTGCCCAAACGAGTTCCACCAAGACCAGAGGTGTCTCCGTTGAGGCTATCTTGGTTATTATTGGCAGTAAATCCATTAGTGTCCAAAGTCATCGCTATTCTCCAATCGTGACCTCTTGACCTAGAACTGTTTCAACGTACAAACACCAAAGACAACACCACAAATGGAATTAAGATCTACTAGGACTACTGAATACAAAACATGAGAAGTGCAAATTTAAATTAAGAAGATGACATTTCACTATCACTTCTCTAATCCATGCTGACTGAAACAGTCTATTGCATCTTACCCGCAGGTGACTTGAGTAGGCAGATTTCAACACAAAAATCAATGTATCAACAAAAAAACTTTCCACACAGCTTACTTTATAGCTTACTCAAGAATAGGTACAAAAAGAAAGGTATAGGTGACAAAATTTGAATATATAATTGTCCCATATCTGATGACTTAAGTTCTTAAACTAGAAGGTTCAAATATATCCACACGATGATGATGTCTTAAAGTCTCATAGCCACCCATTTGTAAAAATTGTGCACACGTTAAAACATCCGAGGGGGAACTTTGATCACAAATTAAATAAATAATTTTGCACAATCTCTAACGGCATCAGGGTACACAATAATTTGGATTTGAACCTATGAAATTTGATCATGTGTCTTAGTATTGATGAAAAATGAATCAGTCGTGTACACGAGGGGCATACTGAATACAAAATTAATAAATAAATCTGTCCACAGCTGATAGTTGAAGCTTTTGAACGAGGTGGTTCAAATGAAGGCATACAACTTTATAAGCAATATGGAACTACTCAGAGCTACATAAAACTCTTTGAATACCTTCAAGTGTTATTACTTCTAAGGTTAAAATCATTTGGTCATCCCTCTAAAAATTCACACCAAAATTTAGTAATCCCTCGACAGCTAATTGCCCAAAAACCTGACAGCGAAAATGTGTCAACATTATCCTCTCTTCTACACCATCCTTCCAACTGAACTGTAACAACCAATCCTTCTACATTTTCCGTTCAAAGATCAAATTATTTCATCCCAACACCTTCTCCTACCTAGGCAGCCGGCTGCAGGACCATTAAAACAATTACGACAAGCCTAGAAAGTTCAGAAATTACCTCTTTCTATAAGAAGGTATGCCAAGCTTTGAAGTGTGTCTAGTGAAGTTGTGTGTGTGGACCAAATACTGGATAGCTTGACAGCTTTTGAGAAGCATATATGATCTAAAGCTTTCAATTTCTACCACAGATATAGACTGCAGAACTCTAGCATCCATTTGACAGGCCATCAACTGCAAAATACACATGGAGGAAGATAACTATAGTATATGTGCATGCAGACCTAGAAGAAGAAATGTTCCAGAAAGGTATATCATTTGAATAGTACCGAGCTTACCCCATGATATAAATTGGTCATATATTCTAAATTCATCAAATTCGTATACAAGATTTTTGTTGAAAATTTTTGAAGCAACAGATGGCAAGAACTTTAACCATATTAAGAATTCTTTGACAATATTCATTTCAAAGGTTCACGGAATTCCCTTATTGTTGGCTTGCTAAAGAAAAGTTCTCTTCAAAGACAAATGAAAATAATCAAATGAGAAATGTTGGTACAGGACGAAAAAGCAGACACTTCTGAGCCTTGTTCAGTGACGTCTTTGAAGCAATGCAAAGAAATAACATGGAAACATAGGAAGAGAAAACATTTATGAAATGAAAAATGGCAATTATAAACATCTTATTCGTACATATATGCATAAATACAGGAAATTAATACCTAAAGTCCTAAAGCGTAAAAATACTCATAACTAAACGGATTCTGTGGGAATATCCACTCTTCTATACTATTAGTGTCAAGTGCCCTCCATATTTCATTTGAAAACCACTTGCTTTATCCAACATCCAAATATGACAGCAATCAAAAGGTGGGGTATATCCCAACGAACTCATTGTTGGAACATATGGAGCCTAATAATAGCGTACACAATTTCCTTCCCAAACTTTCTTCTTCATAATGAAAATCTTAGCAGACCTACGGTGAGTGGGTGAAAGTGGACCGATCTGTGTGTGCTTTAGTTGTTTTGGTTTCTTCTATTGCTCTCTTAAACCAGAACTAGAACTTATCCATAACATTCTACCGTCCACGGGAGTAAAACTTGTCTTTGGATACAGATGTTGCAATATTTTAACCTCATAAAAGAATCTGGAGAAATGTAGAGCTTGTTGGACATCGTAAATTATTGGAATTGGAAATACAGATGGTTATACTATCACTTAGACCAATAATTACTTACTTTATAGCTTACTCAAGAATAGGTACAAAAAGAAAGGTATAGGTGACAAAATTTGAATATATAATTGTCCCATATCTGATGACTTAAGTTCTTAAACTAGAAGGTTCAAATATATCCACACGATGATGATGTCTTAAAGTCTCATAGCCACCCATTTGTAAAAATTGTGCACACGTTAAAACATCCGAGGGGGAACTTTGATCACAAATTAAATAAATAATTTTGCACAATCTCTAACGGCATCAGGGTACACAATAATTTGGATTTGAACCTATGAAATTTGATCATGTGTCTTAGTATTGATGAAAAATGAATCAGTCGTGTACACGAGGGGCATACTGAATACAAAATTAATAAATAAATCTGTCCACAGCTGATAGTTGAAGCTTTTGAACGAGGTGGTTCAAATGAAGGCATACAACTTTATAAGCAATATGGAACTACTCAGAGCTACATAAAACTCTTTGAATACCTTCAAGTGTTATTACTTCTAAGGTTAAAATCATTTGGTCATCCCTCTAAAAATTCACACCAAAATTTAGTAATCCCTCGACAGCTAATTGCCCAAAAACCTGACAGCGAAAATGTGTCAACATTATCCTCTCTTCTACACCATCCTTCCAACTGAACTGTAACAACCAATCCTTCTACATTTTCCGTTCAAAGATCAAATTATTTCATCCCAACACCTTCTCCTACCTAGGCACCCGGCTGCAGGACCATTAAAACAATTACGACAAGCCTAGAAAGTTCAGAAATTACCTCTTTCTATAAGAAGGTATGCCAAGCTTTGAAGTGTGTCTAGTGAAGTTGTGTGTGTGGACCAAATACTGGATAGCTTGACAGCTTTTGAGAAGCATATATGATCTAAAGCTTTCAATTTCTACCACAGATATAGACTGCAGAACTCTAGCATCCATTTGACAGGCCATCAACTGCAAAATACACATGGAGGAAGATAACTATAGTATATGTGCATGCAGACCTAGAAGAAGAAATGTTCCAGAAAGGTATATCATTTGAATAGTACCGAGCTTACCCCATGATATAAATTGGTCATATATTCTAAATTCATCAAATTCGTATACAAGATTTTTGTTGAAAATTTTTGAAGCAACAGATGGCAAGAACTTTAACCATATTAAGAATTCTTTGACAATATTCATTTCAAAGGTTCACGGAATTCCCTTATTGTTGGCTTGCTAAAGAAAAGTTCTCTTCAAAGACAAATGAAAATAATCAAATGAGAAATGTTGGTACAGGACGAAAAAGCAGACACTTCTGAGCCTTGTTCAGTGACGTCTTTGAAGCAATGCAAAGAAATAACATGGAAACATAGGAAGAGAAAACATTTATGAAATGAAAAATGGCAATTATAAACATCTTATTCGTACATATATGCATAAATACAGGAAATTAATACCTAAAGTCCTAAAGCGTAAAAATACTCATAACTAAACGGATTCTGTGGGAATATCCACTCTTCTATACTATTAGTGTCAAGTGCCCTCCATATTTCATTTGAAAACCACTTGCTTTATCCAACATCCAAATATGACAGCAATCAAAAGGTGGGGTATATCCCAACGAACTCATTGTTGGAACATATGGAGCCTAATAATAGCGTACACAATTTCCTTCCCAAACTTTCTTCTTCATAATGAAAATCTTAGCAGACCTACGGTGAGTGGGTGAAAGTGGACCGATCTGTGTGTGCTTTAGTTGTTTTGGTTTCTTCTATTGCTCTCTTAAACCAGAACTAGAACTTATCCATAACATTCTACCGTCCACGGGAGTAAAACTTGTCTTTGGATACAGATGTTGCAATATTTTAACCTCATAAAAGAATCTGGAGAAATGTAGAGCTTGTTGGACATCGTAAATTATTGGAATTGGAAATACAGATGGTTATACTATCACTTAGACCAATAATTACGAGAGATTCAGTGATGTACCACAAACAAATTCATCAGAAAATATACAAAAATAAATAAATAAATAAATAAATCTATGGAAGTCGGAGAGAGCAAGAGACAGAACCGATACCTGCAAAGCAATAATAACACCAACAGTACATATAATTTTATCTACTTAAAGGGCATCCCTCTGTAAAAGGCTCCAACATTATCTGCAAATTGGAAAAAAAAAAAATGCAATAATTAACATTCTTTAACAAATAAAGCAAACTAGAAAGAATTAAAAAAAGGCCCGGATGAAAATTAAATTATACATGTATCCTAAATGGGAAAATTCAGTTTCCCTCTTCTTTCAGGTGCAGATAAAGGCTTTTCAGAAAAATCAAAGAACGATCTATACCTGCAAAAATGGGGAGATGATGAGAGAGAAAGGACCGCGGCTTCTCCGTCTCAGTGTGTGTATGTTCGAACAGCAAATACGTGAAAGATTCAAGATTGAGTGGAGTTCGTTAATTCCGAGCCCATATATATGATTGCACCGATTTCCCTAGCTTTAAAAAGTATGCTTTTAAATAAATAATAATTAAATTGTAAAATAATAATTTATTCATTGGGAGTTAAAAAATATATCGATTTACTTTTGAATTTTATTTAACATATTTAAATATCTTAGCAAATAAATTATAATTTTTAAAACTATTTTTTTACAAATAAAAATTAATTTTCTAGAAGCTCAATCTTAATTTACATTTAGAAGGTAACTTTTAGAGACTACTACACAGTACAAATTATCGATTAAGGGTTAAATTTGAAAAAAAAAAATAAAAAGAAAAAAAAAGAACATATGTTAACAAGTACTAAGAGTGTGTTTGATTGATATGAAAAATATCACCTAGAAATAAAAATATTTTTCTTCTTTTTTTGACAAACCACCTCTAATCAAGGAAAATGTTTTCCTCAAAAACAAGGAAAATTAAGCATATTTTCAAAAGTTGAAAAATATTTTCCATGAAAAAAATAGCATTCAAACACTCCATGTAAAAATTTGGATGGAAAACTGATATTTTTCATGGAAAATAAATATAATTAAACACACCCTAAATGAAAATTAAGCTATTTTAGATAGCTCAAATTATTTATTTTGAATTACTTTGCTAACTAATAGATTCATAACTAAAAAAGAACAAGAATAAATCGAATCGGCTTATATTTATATGTAATAATTATAAGAATCCATCAAAATATTTACGTGATCAACGACATCGTGTTTAGTGTCATGTGTAACGTCTAATTTACATCATTTTAATTGAACTTTTGCATCTATTTTCACGGCTCTTCTTCTCTTTCAAGAAGGGCAAAAAAAGAGAGAGGGAATAAATGATTAAATAAGAATTAGTAGTAAAACATATATCACAGAAAATTACATCTAATTTTTCATGTCTAGTAAAATCACAATAAACTTGTAGTTACTAATAGCTCTTATCTTCTCCAATGAGAAAAGCTATAATTACATGCAATTGCATATCTAAGAAGTCATCATAGACAAAGAATGACAAGGATTAATAGAAATATATGATTTGAAGATCTCTTATACAGTTGCAGCTTTGATTGAGAGAAAATCTGAAATCTTGTTGGTGTAGAAGTCCGGCTGTATCAAATTATCAGGATTTTGAAGCATCGACAGAGATGTTACGCCTTCAGACAGGAAATACAAGTATTTCAGATGACATACTAATGAATTTTAACGTCATAATGGACGAGAAAACAAATCTTGTCCGAAATTACCTGAGAGGACAAGAAGGGTTTTACAGCCACCATTTTGTCCGAAAAGAATGTCCGTATCGAGTCTATCTCCGACCATGCATATTTGAGACTTCGAGATGCTGAATCTGTGATTTTTTTAGTTAAAGAAACTAATATCAGAGATAAAACAGAAAAGATACATGGATTTCTTTCATCGAGCTAAGCTATGGCCGAATCTCTAGCATCAGAAAAATTCTCTTACTCATACGTTACGTATGTATATAGACACTTGAAAAGAACAATGTAAATACAGAATAAAGAACATTTGAACCCTGAAATGGCAGAGAGGAAACTAAAAGTTTGGGCACCA